TTCAACCCCCGGGGCGGGCTTAGCGGCTCCTCGCTGACGAGCAGCGCGGTTCACGGATGCTCCCCAGCCCAGCGCCTCCGGGTGAAGCCTTTGGGCGAGACGCTCGACCTCGCTTGCTTTTCCCGGCCGGAAAAACCCCGGGGCGCAAACCCGGCGCGCGACTTCCCACCCCCGGCAAATTCAAGCAAGGTGACACCGTGTATTCGAAGCAGGGCTGGCCCCGTGGAGCTGGCTCTGGATTTATGCCCGGAGAAGGGGATTGATGTGGTTTAGGCATTTTTCTCCTTTGTGTCCAGAGCTGTTTACTGAGAAACATATTGGGAGGTATTAAAAATAAATGTCGGCGGAAGACCAAGATCTGGTATCTCTATTTGAGGATGAGGGAAGCCATAGGAGATTAAATATTAGAGTGGCTCTTTCCCCAGGGAGAAAAAGAAAAAAAATAATCACCCTTTCTCTCTGTTGTTTGCTTTTAAGGCGGAGTAAGTTCCTTTTCACCAGTGAGAGGTTCTCCAGTGGCCCTGGGGATGACACTGAGCTCGGGTTCTGCCTTTTCACACCTCCAGCTGTCTCAGGCCTGGGGCTTGGCGTCTTCCACCCTTTTACCCACCTTTGCAGCAAAGCAGAAACCCCAGTGTGCAGGCAACGCACGCGGCCGTGGACTGGGCGAAAAGGAAAGGAGAGGGCTGCGGGCGGCATCGGCTGCTACGGCGGACGGGAAAAACCCCGCGCTGACCAGACGGCACCAAAGACGGGAGGAAGGCGGCGGGTCCGCCTGCTGTTCGGTGGAAAGCCACGTCCCTGGAGGGTGGGAACGCCCAAGAGGAAGGAGCAAACCCAGATGGAGCCTTCAAGGCTGCTCCGCTGGATGAAGCACCGAGCCAGGTGGGTTCAGGGATGATGTGAACGCCCCGAACGCCGAGGCTCAGGCCGGCTGCCCCATCTTCGGAGCAGAAGCTTTGCTGGACTCTGGCCACCGCCGGGTTCCTCGGCCAAGGGCGGTCGTTTTGCCTTCGACCGTACCGGAATCAAGCGCGGTGTAAGGCCCACGGGGGAAGGTTCGCCCGGATCCTTCCCCAGACCGCCACACGCTTCTTTTTCCTCCTAACTGTAAATATGAAACCAGGGCTATTTGTATCTTTGACATTAATTGACTTCGCAAATTAATAACTCTTCTGTGTAACCAGAAACGCAATTATTGCTTCGCCGTGCTGCTAGCAGATCTCCAGCTGGAAGGAATCGTTCCTACCAGCAAACTCGATTGTACTAATTAAGTTGTACGAGCCCAGCAGGAGGCAGGTCATGGTAACCTGTCCCCGGAGGTGCCTCCTCTGTTACTGTCAACCGACGCCGCGGCAGAAACGGAACTGATCGCACGCCTCCGTGTGCACGCTCTGAACTTCCAGGCAGGAGGGATAGAGGGGATTGTAAGCAACGTGAAACTATAACAAAAAAGCCTTAATATTTTCTAGTTTTTAGTAGTCTTTAGTACTGTAACTTGTATTCACAGAATCACAGAATAGTAGGGGTTGGAAGGGACCTCTGTGGGTCATCTAGTCCAACCCTCCTGCCGAAGCAGGGTCACCTA